GCAACAAACAATACTTGAGTAAAAATGTATGAGTATTTTGAAAGCATTCAACTGATATTTATGATTCCAAATTAATGTAATAGTATTCATTCCTCAATTTGAGTAAAACTTCGATTTTGCAATCTCAACAAAATCAATATGCAGAATTCGACGTTCCAAATTCGCCATAAATAAAATTAAAGCATGTCTTGCTTAGGGATTTTATGAAAATATCTGTCAATTGCTTGTCAGTGTTTACAAATTTAATAGCAATATCCCCTTTTTGAACATGATCTTTTAAAAATTAGTGTCAAATTTCAATATGTTTTGTTTCAGAGTGTTAAACCGGATTTTTGTTTAAGTTGATAGTACTAGGATTATCACATTTAATAGGGATATAATCATAATGTAAGTCAAAATCATCTAATTGTTGTTTCATTCATAGAACTTGGGCACAACAACTTCCGGAAGCTATGTATTCAGCTTCGGCCGTTGATAAAGTAGCAAAAGATCGCAGAACCTAATAATATTTTCATAGCTAAAGAAGCAAAATCATCAATGGTGATTGGAACAAAGGCACAGGAGCTTAAATTACAACCTAGAGGACACAGGGTTCAAAGTTCTGGTAAATCCATTAAGGGCACAACCCTAGACATCCGACCAATCCTTGCCGGTAGGACAAGAAGGTCTTCATCTTCATCTCCTCCGCCTATGCTCTATTCGTAGTGTAATGCAACTCATGAGCTGACGGCGGAACCCTACACTTTTCAACGCCGTTCGCTGGTTTTCCGACGATCGATTTTTTTGGGAGAACTTGTTTGCTTCGCTTTTGCTTTTGCGTTTCCTTGTGATTCTTTTCCTTCTCGTCCCTTGAAGATGATGAGCAAGTAAACGTGATCGATGACCAGAACTTCTTTTTGTTGCCTCTACCTTCGCTTTTGCTTCTGTACAATAGATCCTTGAAGAATATCCACTTCTTCGAGTTCCTTCCAGACGATGAAGACCTTGAAGACGAAGCAGAGCCTAACGGTGTTGTATCGATCGACGGAGTTTTAGCTTCTTTGTTCTCAGAATCATCCAACTCCAGAACGCGATGATGATGAGAGGCCTCATTTTCTTCGTGTTCTTACCATTGGAACTGTGTTGTTCGTTGTGGTGACATCTACCGGATCTGACCATTCAAGAACAACTTGTCGGCCGAACTCATATCACTTGGTGAGAACCCAGAAGAAAATTCGAACTTGAACGAGCCAAACTCAGCGTCGTTGGTGTCGCCATTGTTGGAGGAGTGAAGGTTGACGTTTGGTTCGCTATTGTTACGGTTTGAAAAGAGGATTATTGGTGTGAGTTCGAGAGCAGAAATCATAAAGGACCCCCACAACCACAATCCCCACTGACACATGTCAGTGACTGATAAGAGGAAAAAAAATAAAATAAATAAAGAGTAAAAAGTTGAATACATTGAAGGTGGTGGAGTTTTTCCGTTTGAGAGAGAGAGTTGGAGCGGGCTTAGGGACTGAAACGAGTCTGATTGGCTTGTTGGACACTCCTCCAACAATGGCGACACCAACGACGCTGAGTCTGGCTCGTTCGAGTTCGAATTTTCTTCTGGGTTCTCACCGAGTGATATGAGTTCGGCCGACGAGCTGTTCTTGAACGGTCAGATCCGGTCGATGTCACCACAACGAACAACACAGTTCCAATGGCAAGAACACGAAGAAAATGAGGCCTCTCATAATCATCGCATTATGGAGTTGGATGATTCTGAGAATAAAGAAGCTAAAACTCCGTCGATCGATACAACACCGTTAGGCACTGCTTCGTCTTCAAGGTCTTCATCGTCTGGAAGGAACTCGAAGAAGTGGATATTCTTCAAGGATCTATTGTACAGAAGCAAAAGCGAAGGTAGAGGCAACAAAAAAAGTTCTGGTCATCGATCACGTTCACTTGCTCATCATCTTCAAGGGACGAGAAGGAAATGAATCGCAAGGAAACGGAAACGCAAAAGCAAAAGCGAAGCAAACAAGTTCTCTAAAAAAAACCGATCGCCGAAAAACCAGCGAACGGCGTTGAAAAGCATAGGGTTCCGCCGTCGGCTCACGAGTTGCATTACACTGCGAATAGAGCACAAGCGGAGGAGATGAAGAAGAAGACCTTCTTGCCCTACCGGCAAGGATTGGTCGGATGTCTAGGGCTGTGCCCTTAATGGATTTACCAAAACTTTGAACCCTATGCCCTCTGGGTTGTAATTTAAGCTCCTGTGCCTTTGTTCCAATCACCATTGATGATTTTACTTCTTTAGCTATGAAGATATTATTAGGTTCTGCGATCCATTGTCATGTATAATCCTTGTGGGAGTGTGATGTTTTGGGATGATGTTAAAAAGTTGATTTTTTTTATTTTTTTTATATATAAAAAGTAAAAAAGTGTTCTGATTTAAAAAAGTTAAAAAAATTAAAAAGTTAATCTTTCCAAATTACCTCAGTCTCTCAATTATGTAATATTTTATTATAAAGTAAATTATTAAATTAAGTTTGTATAAGATTGCTATTCATCCTAAAAGTGTTTAATTATGATTTTTTTTAATATAATTTCTTATTTTTTAAATATGACAACGGAATAGGTTGAGGTCCGACGGGCAGCCAAGGCAAGGCTGCCGCCTGCTGGTAAGGCGAAGAACACCGAGAGCTTAACCTATAGCTTTAATACCATGTTAGAATAGTAGAGAGAGGGGAAATAATATGTATTGTATTGAATGATAGAAGGTCTGTATATATAGGCTGAGAAAGAGTACCCTACTAGAAATCTAACTATGAGAAAGAGTATCCTATAAGAAACCTAACTATGGCAATACCTAATATATCTAGGAAATCAATACCTAATATATGTAGGAATATATACCATATATACATTAACAACAATCACAGCAAAGCAAACAACCAGCCAAATCACAGCAAAGGCCGGGAAAAAAAACAACGTACTATAAATGCTACCGAATACACCGATAGCCGAACACAACAGAAAAACAATCTAAAAAGTGCTAACCACATCAGCACATGAACCTTGGAAGGGTAAAGAGAGAAGAAAAAAACACCCCGAAAAGGAAGCCGCACTAGACCCAAGGCAGGGAGGGTCTAGTCGGCACCTAAGGAAGCTGCGACAGTGAAGAAGAGGCACTACCGAGGGGCTGGGAAAGAAGAGGAAGGGCTATCAGGGCTTGAGAAAGAAGAAGAAGGGCTTTCGGCTTCAAATGATAAAGTAGCTAACTTGTGTCTCATGGCTCTAGGAGAAGAAGAATCTACTCAAGATGAGGTAACTTTTAATTATGAAAAACTTGAGAGTGCTTTTAATGAAATACGTGATGAGTTTAGAAAAGTATGTATTAAAAATAATGTGTTAAAGAAATTAGTAGCATCCTCATCTAACAATGTAGATGAATCGAAGAAAGAAAACCTTGTTTTGAAAAATGACCTTAGCATTATTTCTAACGAGAAAATTGTCTTAAAAAACAGTATTGATGATTTAAATAAAACTCCTGAAAATTTTGTAAAAGGAAGAGATAACCTCAACAAGCTTTTTGGTAATCAAAGATGTGTTTTTGATAAAACCGATATTGGCTATGATTCCATTAAGAAACAAAAGAACCTCAAAACAATTTTTGAAAAAACACCTCCTATGACACACCTTCATATTACTTGTCATTATTGTAGGAAAAAAGGTCATTATATCTCTACTTGTCCATTCAATAAGAATATGAACATGGAAACTAAAAATATTTGGGTTGTAAAAGGAACTAACAATACCCAACCAAAAAAGACCCAAGAAATCATGGGTACCAACAGTGTTTTTAAAGGCTCAAGGCGCACTAAGGCGCTGAAGGTCTCTCGGGCCTAGGTGCAAGGAGAGGCGCAGGCTTTATTGAAGTAAGGCGCATAGTCTTAGTAAAAAATAAAAAAATTAACATAGACTAATCATTCATAGTACTAAGACAATTTTTTTTAAAATAAAAAATAATCAAGATTCAAGACAAAATATAAAATAATTCTCAAAGCCATGAAAGCACATATTACATAACATTCCAAGTATCAAAGATAAAATAATCCACATTCAATAAAATAAAAACAAAAACAAAAACATAAACACTAAACATCCAAAACATAAATATCCAGCAAATACTAATATATGTCTCAACACTTCAAAACATCAATATCAAATTTAATAAATGAAAAATAATTTCAATGTAATGTAATGCGTGATGAATAAAGTATTTGTAATTTTTTTTCCCTAACAGATAAAAGAAAAAAGAAAAAAAAACCAATAGCACATTGTATTAATTAATTATTTGTGAATAATTAATTATTTGTATTTTTTTTCCAGTGTATTTTTTTAGTTAATTATTTGTATTTTTTTTCTTGTATTTTTGAATAATTAATTATTTGTATATTTTTTTTCATTAATTATTCTCGTAATTTTTTTTTTTCCTTCTAACAGAGACTAAAGGCATAATTGCAACAAAAAAAAAAAAAAAAAAAAAAAAAACAGAGTCCAAGTCGAAGCCCAGGTGAGAGAGAGTGAGATCAGAAGACCAGAAGAGGTCGAAGCCAAAAAAAAAAAAAAACATCCCAGTCGAAGTCGTGAAGTCGAGCAGACCAGAAGGAGGAGGAGAAGAAGAAGACGGCGAAGCATACCTGCGAAGTCGAAGTCGAATCGAGCAACCCAGTCGAAGTCAAAGTCCAGCAGAGTCAAAGTCGAAGTGGAATCGAGCAGCCCAGGCGAGGCGAGAGAGGAAAAACAACATAGATTAGGGTTCAGAGCCATTCGACATAGATTAGGGTTCAGATCTAGCTGCTAAAAACTCAAGTGCGCCTAGTCGTGCGCCTTGCGCCTCTGTCGCCTGGCTCAAGTCGCGGCTAAGGCATGAGCCTATCTGAAAGCGCCTCGCCTGGGACCTGTACAGGCGCAAACAGTGCCCCTCGCCTTGCCTCGCTTGGCGCCTAGGCGAGCTTTTCACAACACTGGGTACCAAAATCCAACATTTGATTATCTTATTGTAGGTATGCCTTAAGTCTAAAGCAAAAAACAGAAGGTGGTACCTTAATAGTGGATGCTCTAGACACATGACTGAAGACAAATCATCCTTCACTACTCTATTATCCAAAGATGGAGGATTTGTCACTTTCGGAGACAACAAAAAGGAAAAAATTATTGGCATTGGTAGCATCATTATCTCTCCTAACCCTTCTATTGAAAATGCTCTCCTTATAGATGGACTTAAGTATAATTTACTTAGTATTAGTCAATTATGTGATAATGGTAATTGAGTTATTTTTTACAAATCACATTGTACAATTAAAAGCATAATTGGTCACAAAACACTATTTGTTGGTAATCGTCTTGATAATGTCCATGTTTTTCATCTCAATGGTCTCTATGCTAGTGATGTCAAATGTTTATATGCTATTAGTGATAGTAGTTGATTATGGGATAGAAGACTTGGTCATGCTCAGTTGCTAAACTTTTGAGAAAGAATTTGGTCGTTGAACTTTCAAAAATTAAATTCGAAAAAGATAGACTTTGTGGTGCTTGTCAACAAGGAAAGCAATCCAAAACATCTTTTAAATCAAAATCTCTTATTTCCACTATTATACCTTTGCAATTGTTGCATATGGATTTATTTGGTCCCTCAAGAACATCTAGCCTTGGTGGTAACCATTATTGTCTTGTTGATGTTGATGATTTTTCAAGATTTACATGGGTTATGTTTTTAACACACAAAGATTAGACATTTTCTTCTTTCACTAAACTTTGTCAGAAAATTCAAAATAAAAAAGGTTTTCTTATTATTAATATTCGAACCGACTATGGTAGAAAATTTGAAAATGAAAATTTTGAATTATTTTGTGATGAGCATGGTATTGGACATAATTTTTCAGCACCTAGAACCCCTCCAAAAATGGTGTTATAAAAAGAAAGAATAGAACCTTAGAAGAAATGAGTAGAACAATACTTTGCCAAAGCACATTATATGATCAGGAAATCAAAATGATGGTTGATGGACACATACAAGGGAAACAAACTTGCATTAAAGATGCCTCCTGCTCAGAATGTTACCTGATTCATCCACAAAAAATAGGGGGAAAGAAAGAAAAAAAAAAACAAAAAACAAAAAGTAAATGTGAGGATTATTACAATAGAGTTTACGTTAATGATCAATAACTAGATGTAATTCAGGAGATCATATTTTGAATTTAATGGACTGTCCATTGAAATAATAAAATTTGCAAACTAGGTCCAAATGTCTATGAATTTGGTAATCAATATTTTGCAGACCACATACATATCCAAATCCCACTCTTTTTTAGTTGTTCTAACCACCACTTTTTACTTCAAATCCCATTTCCACAATTATTATTAGAATGAACCCAATTGTGAAAACATAAAGAAATACCCAGTCCTGCCAAAGATTCAAGAAAGACTTGTTTCAATTGCAAGACACCAACAAACAAACAAACTTATATTATATAAATAAAAATGAACATTTAACATCAAAGCCTCCATCGACTCCGAAAACACTTCCTACTACAACCTTGAAACACAAAAAAAATAAATATACTAGCCATGTCTTTGACGACAAACAGTATATTACCCACTATTCAGTAAATAGAGAGAGAGAGAGAGAGAGAGAGAGAACCATCTTTTGACGAGCTGCATTTTGCGGTGGTAACTTGTGGCGGCAGCTCTATTTAGGGTTTTGATGAGCACTGTTAGCTTATAGATTCTAAGACAGAGAGACAGTTTTATATATGAAAACTTTTGCTGATTTGTGATTAATTTCACTATTTTTTATTTATAATAGTTTTCCTTAATATATATAATAATTTTAGAAACATGATATTACTACATTATATAGTGTTTTATAAGAGGTGCTCATGTCATAGATCAAAGGCTTTTTTTGTTTTGGTCCGTAAGAAGTGTGTTTGGTTTGAGTTTTTTGAATTGAGTTTTTTGAAAATTGAGTTTTTTTTTGTTTTCGTATTTTTTTATTTTTAGTGAATATTTTTAAAATTTTAAATATTTTTTTTACTTTTTTAGATGCACCTTATTTAAATGTATCCAAAAAGTAAAAAATTTGTGAAAAAATATTTTTAAAAATTAATGAATACATAAAAATACAAAAAAATGTACTGAATTCTAGTATTTTTGGTATTTAGTGAATTTTTAAAAGATTTTTTTCAAAAAAAAATTACTTTTTAGGTATATTTATGTTAGGTATGTCTAAAAATTAAAAAAAAACAGAAGGTGGTACCTTAATAGTATTTTTGGTATTTAGTGAATTTTTATTTATTTTTTTCAACATTTGATTATCTTATTGTAGGTATGCCTTAAGTCTAAAGCAAAAAACAGAAGGTGGTACCTTAATAGTGGATGCTTTAGACACATGACTGAAGACAAATCATCCTTCACTACTCTATTATCCAAAGATGGAGGATTTGTCACTTTCAGAGACAACAAAAAGGAAAAAAATTATTGGCATTGGTAGTATCGGTATCTCCCCTAACCCTTCTATTGAAAATGCTCTCCTTATAGATGGACTTAAGTATAATTTACTTAGTATTAGTCAATTATTTGATAATGGTAATTGAGTTATTTTTGATAAATCACATTGTACAATTAAAAGCACAATTGGTCACAAAACACTATTTGTTGGTAATCGCCTTGATAATGTCCATGTTTTTCATCTCAATGATCTCTATGCTAGTGATGTTAAATGTTTATATGCTATTAGTGATAGTAGTTGGTTATGAGATAGAAGACTTGGTCATGCTCAATTGCTAAGCTTTTGAGAACGGTTTGGTCGTTGAACTTTCAAAAATTAAATTCGAAAAAGATCGACTTTGTGGTGCTTGTCAACAAGGAAAGCAAACCAAAACATCTTTTAAATCAAAATCTCGTATTTCCACTATTATACATTTTCAATTGTTGCATATGGATTTATTTGGTCCCTCAAAAACATCTAGACTTGGTGGTAAACATTATTGTCTTGTTGTTGTTGACGATTTTTCAAGATTTATATGGGTTATGTTTTTAGCACACAAAGATGAGACATTTTCTTCTTTCACTAAACTTTGTCAGAAAATTCAAAATGAAAAAGGTTTTCTTATTATTAATATTCGAACCAACTATGATAGAAAACTTGAAAATGAAAATTTTGAATTATTTTGTGATGAGCATGGTATTGGACATAATTTTTCAACACCAAGAACCCCTCAACAAAATGGTGTTGTAAAAAGAAAGAATAGAACCTTAGAAAAAATGAGCAGAACAATGCTTTGCGAAAGCACATTATATGATCAGGAAATCAAAATGATGGTTGATGGACACATACCAGGGAAACAAACTTGCATTAAAGATGCCTCCTGCTCAGAATGTTACCTGATTCATCCACAAAAAATAGGGGGAAAGAAAGAAAAAAAAAACGAAAAACAAAAAGTAAATGTGAGGATTATTACAATAGAGTTTAGGTTAATGATCAATAACTAGATGTAATTCAGGAGATCATATTTTGAATTTAATGGACTGTCGATTGAAATAATAAAATTTGCTAACTAGGTCCAAATGTCTATGAATTTGGTAATCAATATTTTGCAGACAACATACATATCCAAATCCCACTCTTTTTTAGTTGTTCTAACCACATAGCAACTCATAAACTGGATCCACTTTTTACTTCAAATCCCATTTCCACAATTATTATTAGAATGAACCCAATTGTGAAAACATAAAGAAATACCCAGTCCTGCGAAAGATTCAAGAAAGACTTGTTTCAATTGCAAGACACCAACAAACAAACAAACAAACAAACTTATATTATATAAATAAAAATGAACATTTAACATCAAACCCTCCATCTACTCCGAAAACACTTCCTACTACAACCTTGAAACACAAAAAAAATAAATATACTAGCCATGTCTTTGACGACAAACAGTATATTACCCACTATTCAGTAAATAGAGAGAGAGAGAGAGAGAACCATCTTTTTGACGAGCTGCATTTTGCGGTGGTAACTTGTGGCGGCAGCTCTATTTAGGGTTTTGATGAGCACTGTTAGCTTATAGATTCTGAGACAGAGAGACAGTTTTATATATGAAAACTTTTGCTGATTTGTGATTAATTTCACTATTTTTTATTTATAATATTTTTCCTTAATATTTATAATAATTTTAGAAACATGATATTACTACATTATATAGTGTTTTACAAGAGGTGCTCATGCCATAGATCAAAGGCCTTTTTTGTTTAGGTCCATAAGAACATTTCTTTTTTTGTTTGGGTACACAAGGATGTGCCTTTGAATTTGTTTGGATTCATGTACCTAGTTTTATATAGGGGATTTTTTTTTTTTTTTAGGATCCCTAGTATTAAGATTTTATAACATAAAACATCCAATATTTTTATAATGTCTAAAGTCCCTCCAGAGAAAATTCTCTGACCTTCCCAAAGAAATTCTTTTTTTGGCCTTCCCACTCTCTAGAAAGAATTTTTCTGAACTTTTCCCTCTCCAGAGAAATTATGGACTTCCCACAAAATTCAAAGTTACCCAGCAAATAATCAGTGTTGGTGAACAAAAAGGGATTGAATTGAATTTGCATAAAATAAGCTAAAATCATTATAATGAGTGACTATATATATAGATATATACCTGAAGTAGAGGGTGAGTGCGATAAGAGGGAAGGTAGTGAGGGCAAAAATCTAAGGTCCCTCAAGAGAAAATTTTCTCCAGAAAAATTCTCTCGAACAACTCTTCCTTTTCTTTTCTTGTTTGGAATTTCCTTCATCTCTAAGCTTTTCTCAACCCTCTTCTACATTTCAGACCTTAGTTATTTCCCCCCCCTCCTCTCTCTCTCTCTGGGTGAAGAAATTCTTGTGTTTGGTGTACCATGAGTGTACAATTCGAAGTAAACACTTGAGGTTTCTGAGAATTTTAGAGTTTTAGGGCTTCATATTTAGTCTTTGTTTGGTTAATTTGTTTTGACTACATGATCAGTGTAGCTTTTGAAGTGAATTCATTGTTTGAGCATTTAGATCTCGTCAAGTGGACTTTGGTCTCTCGTCTCACCGATGAACTCATAAATTTTGAGGGACCTTAGACTATAAAAAAAATCATTGTGGACCACCCCCCCTTACTAAAAGTTGGAAAAGGTTGTTAGACCAATTTTCCTTTTATATATGAAAACTTTTGCTGATTTGTGATTAATTTCACTATTTTTTATTTATAATATTTTTCCTTAATATTTATAATAATTTTAGAAACATGATATTACTACATTATATAGTGTTTTACAAGAGGTGCTCATGCCATAGATCAAAGGCCTTTTTTGTTTAGGTCCATAAGAACATTTCTTTTTTTGTTTGGGTACACAAGGATGTGCCTTTGAATTTGTTTGGATTCATGTGTGTTATTTGTTGAACTCTAACTTATTATTGTATAAAAGACTTGTTAGAAATTTTATTTTTTAGTTAATTCTATTAAATAAAAAATTATGATAAAGGAAGTATTATAATTTCACAAACCACAGGGACAATCTGTATTTTCAACAAATTTCAAGGGGTGTATTTATAATTTATCTATTTTTTTATATCATGTGACAGCTAACGTGGTATTTTCTGTCTAAGTTTGAATATAAGTTACCTTTAGGAGTGAATTGAAAAAAACTTAACGTGAAGGATCAAAGTGGGAGGGAAAAAAAATTCAAGAGCCAAAGTGAGAAAATGACTAAAGAAAGGGGACAAAGTGTAATTTACCCACAGATTTATTATTATAAATTTAAATTAACAGTTGAATGCATAATATAAAAACATCCCTCCCTACCTTATTGTTAAAGGATGTAAATGGTTTGGTTCAATTTGGTAAGATGGAGGAAAAAATTAGCACCAAACTGCATCATTAAGTTTTGAATTAGCGTTGCTATCTTAAAAAAAAATGAATTAGTATTAGGGAAGGAATTAGGAGAAAAACATAAAGGGGTCATGATTCCTTATTTTTATGAAAAAATATTATTTTTCATAATACTTTAGAATATATATATCATTTTATATATAAAATAGCCTCCTAATATAACATATATATCTCATTTTTTTCTCATCTTTTTATTTTGTATAAAAAAAACTTCTTCATTCTATTAGAGATTGTTTCTATAGTATTTGATTTTTTTTTTTAATTTTGTGTGTCTATATATATGATATATATATCATGTCGTACATATACGTGTTTGTGTATATAATTGAAAAATTTTATTCGACTTTTGATCCTTCTAGTGACAAAATCTGAATTCCATCCCTGATTAACGTAAAAAAAGGATTAACCGGAAGTTTTAAGAGTTTTATAAAAAGTTACGAATAACTTAAGAGAAGTGGTAAAAGTTACTTTATAAATGTCTCACTTCCTAACTTTTATTGCAAAAAAGCGTAATTTACTTTGTTTTAATACTTAAAGAATTATAATATAATAAGTATTTAAATATAACATTTTAACTAGTTCAATTGGGTTCATTACAATCAGTGTAAAAAATTTGGAATCAAAACAATCATACCTTATCAAAAATCAAAATTTTAGTTAGTCTCAAAGCAATTAATTTGATTTTATCGATTTTTCTTACCGCCCTTTTCTTATTTAAATTATTCTTTTCATAAATTGTAGACAAAAATTGTACCAAAAATTAGTAAAAAAATTTAAAAAAAAAAATCACTCCATAAAACTACATCGAAGGGGTCAAGTATTAGCTGCATTTATGGATATAGAATGGGACTAGGCTAGGCAGAGTGTTTATTAATAATTATTACATCTTTAACAGCTGTTTTTAATGTTGCATTTTTTTCGAGTAATGATAGAGATTTTAAAAAATTTATTAACATTTTTATCACATTTCTTATATGTGTGTGGGACCCACATCAACCCAATGTGAGATATTTGGTAGAAATTTTAGTAGAATTTTTATGGTCACTAGCATTTTTGTTTTGTTTTTCCTTGAGGGTCTATTTAGCACATTGATTTGGGTTTTGCTACCATGTGAAACAAGGAGGAAAAGAAAATACAATCAAAAGATAGAAGAAAATTATATCTTTAAAAAAATAATAATACAAGAAGAAGAAGAAGAAGAAGAAGAAGAAGACTGAGAATTGTGGTATGAAAGGTAAATTATTGTTTCAAACAAAAGAGGTATTTCAAATTCACAACTACTACTGCTACAGACCTTAATTTACAAACAGGGTGAGAGCTGCAACAAGAAGCAAACATAATGGCAGATGGAAAACAGTACAAGTTCTGCCATATACATACCTTCCCTAGCTTCACCCCTATCAAACATAACACTAAAGTAACCAAAGCCAAGAATGATTTGCCTGAAAAGAGTTGAACAACAAGGATGACCTGCCATCCCCAAACGCTTCTCATTTGGTGGTAGTGGGCCCACGTGGAGCCTGACTCACCAGTACGCTCCCCTCCTCTTGATCAAACCAGTCTCCCCCATCACTGTCAGTCGACTGCGAATAATGGTGCATAGACAAACCATGACCATTTATGTTGTTTCCATTTGAGGATTTGTGTGCACTGTGCATGTCTTGATACATGGGTAGTTCCTTCTCACGATGACCAGAATTTCTGTTAGAGTTCAAGGGCAAGTGATCGGAGCCTGATAAGTTGGCAGAAGGATTGGTGGCATTACTATCGAGCTTTTTGGAATTAAGAAAACGACCTCCGCAACCTCTTGCCCTTCTCATAGCATGTTGGTGTCGCGATTCATGAAGATATGGCTGAATTAGAAAGAACAAAACCAACATTTATTAGATAAATGGAATTTGTTGAATAGGAACATGATAAATATATCTGACTAGAATACTAAAGAAGATTCTAACAGAAATTTGAGATGGCAATACAAATCACTAAAATCAAAATTAAAGGTGAAGATGAAGAAGAAAACTCTAGAAATTCCATCTAGATTTTCTAGGAACAACCCCCTAATGTAAGGTTATACAAAGCACCAAACAAAATCACAAAAAACTTCATATAAATTCTTGAAAACTTCATATTTATGATTGTTAGGCTCTCCCAATAATATTAGGAAAATGATTCACAATTTAGGAAACCACAATTTTTTTAACAAATAGAATATTCTTATACAAGCTCCATATTCCCAGCAACAGTATTTGACAGTAACACAACCCATAAATCAATTCTACATCCCATTTTCAGCAAAACTTAAAATTGCTAAAGTAAGCATAAACAAATCAGTCTAGTAGCATTCTAACTTAAAAAATAAGTAAAAACAAGACTCAAGTTAACCTAATCATAGTTCTTGGCTATATAAAGCTCAAAAGGTGGTCCATTTGAAATTCGAGATTTGTCCGTCCACATAGTTGTTAGAATCTTACAATTACCAATTTAAATCTTAGGCAACAATTAATTTTCGTTCTTAAATGAATCCCCAGGTTGAATCACATGTTGTCAATAATTTTAATAAATCTATGTGAATCATAAGAATCTCATAATTCACGATTCAAAGACCATTCATGTGATTTAGTAGTCTTCTAATTTTGATTACCACAAAATTACCTTTGTAGGACCTTGTTAGGAAAAATGAGTTGAACCCTGGTCAATTTTGCTATGACAATTTCATTCCATAGAGTCTACTATTTAGTTGTAGCTTAGTTGAGTCTATGAGGAAAATCCGTAGTTGAAGATTCAAGTACAGAAATTCTGAGCCAAAGTGCAGATTGAAAAGAAAAAAGACAAATTTGATGACAAAGGTCATATCAAAACACCATTCGCATTTGAATGGAAACTCCATGCATTTGAACACAAGGCTGATCAGTTCAAATGCACGGTATTCTGGATTTGTTTTTTAAGCATTAAGTGAAGCAATGTATTCACCATTTGAACACACTGAGGTACTGTTCCAACACAGCTTGTTTTCCTTTGGAATGCATCTCTGGAACAGAAACCTTGTTGGTTCTTGTTTCCTTGTTCCCTTGAATTTTCACTTTGTCTATATGTATATTGGTCTTTGTGACTTCTATATAGCAAATTGTATACATTGAATATTGTGCACATAGAGAGATTATTTGGGATAACTTAGGAGAGCTTCATATAGTCCATACTCTCTACTCTCATATTCCCAAGAGTTTCCAAAGGT